CATCCCTATCTATCTCCACCTCCACCTCCATCTCCATCTATCTCCACCTCTATCTCCATCCCCATTCCCATCCCATCCCATTTCCATTCCCATCCCATTTCCATTCCCATCCCATCTCCATCTATCCTCATCTCCATCACTGCCTCCATTTCCATCTCCATCATCTATCCCTACCTCCATCTCCATCTGCCTCCATCCTCATCTATCTCCATCCCCATCTATCTCCACCTCTATCTCCATCCCCATTCCCATTCCCATCCCCATCCCCATCCCCATCTCCATCTATCCTCATCTCCATCTCCATCTCCATCTCCATCTCCATCTCCATCTCCACCATCCATCCCTATCTCCATCTCCATCTGCCTCCTTCCTCATCTGTCCCCATCTGCATCCCCATCCCCACCCCATTCCAATCCCATCCCATCCCATCCCACCCCACCCCCGGCCAGGAGACGTGTGGCAGAGCAAGCTTTGGTTTGACAGCGCAGGAGCCACTCAGAAGTACTCATTCTGTTGATTAACAAAATAAAAGAGGGAGAGAGAAAAAGAAGGAAGAAACGAGCTGCTCCCCAGGCTGCCTCTCCCCTCGATCTGTCTCCGGCAGCACATCTCTACCACAATGACACAAATCCTCGTTGGGTGCTTGAGATTAACATTTGGGTTATTGCCCTGTCAAGTGAGCGGTGCAGGAATTGATTTCACATTGAGCTGCCGCCGCGATGATCTATGCAAGAAAAATGGCCTTATTAATCTTTAAAAAAGAAAAACAAAACTCCGCGACACCTCCGGACTTTGTTTGCCTGCCAGGATGGATGGGGACCTGAGGAACGAATGGGAAAAGCTGCGTGCGTGGGGCTGGGAGGAGGGCGGCGAGCAGCGCTGCCCTGCTTGTCTCCTCGTGAGCTCCTTGGTGGCGGGTGATGGGCGCAGAGAAAACCCTACGGAGCAGCACAGAGCCACAGCAGGGCTGCAGAGCCCCCTGCTCACCTCATCGAAGAGCTGCAGCATGATGGTGAGCACGTCCGGATGGGCTTTGTCCACCTCATCGAAGAGCACCACGGCGTTGGGGCACTGCCGCAGCTTCTTGGTGAGCTGCCCGCCCTCCTCGTGGCCCACGTAGCCCGGCGGGGAGCCGATGAACTTGGCCACCTGGAGGGGGGACAGGGTTGTGAAAGGAGAGCCAGAGCTTCAGCGTGGGCAAATGGAGATCTCCATCCTTTGCATCACGTCCTTCTGGGATGAGTTTGAAGGGGAGCGAAGGGTGGGGAGCGGTGGCGGCGAGGACGTTTGTCCTCCAGCAGTGACAACTCATCTACGTCTCACTTGTGATCAAATGGGGTTCAAAAACAGAAGATAGGATTTCCCTCCTGGCAAGGGAAATGCTTTTGCAAACATGATGAGTGAGCGTGCACAACCCCCAGCGCTGTCATGCTGTCACAGAATGGGGAAGGTTGGAAAAGACCTTCAAGATCCCCAACGCCCAACCCATCCACTGACCGTGGCCCTAAACAGAACCACAGACTCACAAAGGTTGGAAAACACCTCCAAGATCCCCAAATCCAACCCACGCCCTATGACCCTGTCCCTAAACAGAACCATAAAGTCATTATGGTTGGAAAAGGCATTCGAGATCCTCAAACCCAACCCCAACCCATCCCATGTCCACTGGCCATGGCCCTAAACAGAATCACAGAATCACTGCAGATGGAAAAGGAATCTGAGATCCCAAAACTCAACCCAACCCATCCCACCGTGCCCACAGACCACGGCCCTAAATAGAATCACAGAATCATTAAGGTTGGAAAAGGCATCCGAGATCCTCAAATCCAACCCCAACCCAACCCACTGTGTCTATTGACCGTGGCCCTAAATAGAATCATAAAATCACAAAGGTTGAAAAAGACCTCCAAGATTCCCAAATCCAACCCCAACCCATCCCACCATGCCCACAGACCATGGTCCTAAACAGAACCATAGAATCACTGCAGATGGAAAAGGAATCTGAGATCCCAAAACTCAACCCAACCCATGCCACCACTTCCACAGACTACAGCCCTAAACAGAACCACAGAATCACTATGGTTGGAAAGGGCTCCAAGATGACCCAACCCAACCCATCCCACCGTGCCCACAGACCATGGTCCTAAACAGAACCATAGAATCATTAAGGTTGGAAAAGGCATCTGAGATTCCCAAATCCAACCCCAACCCATCCCACCGTGCCCACAGACCACGGCCCTAAACAGAACCACAGAACCATTAAGGTTGGAAAGGCCTCCAAGATGCCCCAACCCATCACACCGTGCCCAGTGACCATGGCCCTAAATAGAACCACAGAATCACAAAGATTGGAAAAGACCTCCAAGATCCCCAAATCCATCCCCAACCCATCCCACTGTAACCACGGATTGTGCCCCCCAAGTGCCACACCCCCACAGCTCTAAGGACCCCAACCCACGTCCCCCTGGGCAGCTGCGCCAACGCATCACCGCTCTTTGGAAGAAGAGCTGTTCCCCAGTCTCCAGCCTGACCCTCCCCATCCTGAAGCCATTCCCCACAGCTCCTGTGGGTCAAACCTGCCCAGGTGGGTGCAGAGGCAGCGGAGCAAAGCCCCGAGCCCTCAGCGTGACCCACAGCCACACTGGGGTGTCCCCAAGCAGGGCCCCCACCCCAGCAGCAGGGCTCTCCGCACGCCCATCAGCGCAGGGCTGCCCCCGGGGCCGCTGCTCCTGGGCTGACCTCCTGCTCCTTGTTTGCTTGAGAAATTTATATCGCTCCCGATGCAATTCTCTGCACAATCCCTCCCCTCTGCTCTGCCTCCTGCCTGTGTCAGGGCGCTGTGTTTTATGTCTCGCATTTTACACCGCTGCTCCCGGCTCCTTCTTTGCACTGAGTCATCGGCGTCGCTTTGTTTTCCTCCATTTCTCACCGGTGCTGGGCAGCAGCACCCCGGCACCACGGCCGTCCGTCAGGGAGATGTGAGCACCTGGCTGCTCTCTGCGCTGCCCTCCTCGCTTCTCTGCTTGAAGGGAGTGCATTCTTCCTCCTCCTCCTCCTCCTCCTCCTCCTCTGCACCCTCTCCAAAATCGTGCCGGGCTGCAGTGCACTCAGTGTTGTGTGCAGTGTTGTGTGCAGTGGTTGGTTTTTCATCCACCAGGACCCCCAGGTCCTTCTCTCCAGCTCTTCTCCCACTCCGTACACATATGGTGTCATTGATGAAGATGTTGAAGAGCACCAGGATGGACCCCTTGGGGACACCTCTCACTTGGGGACACCACTGACCACCACCGCCCATCCAATTCCTTATCCACCGAATTGTCCACCCTTCAAACCCTCATCTCTCCACTTTAGAGATCAGGATGAGGTGGGAGGCCACGCCAAAGGCCTTGCACAAGCCCAAGGAGGTGACACCAACCACCCTCTCTCCGTCCATCAGTGCTGCCCCTCCATCACAGAAGGCTGCTGGATGGGTCAGGCACGCCGTTCCCTTGGTGAAACCATGCTAACTGTCTCAGATCACCAGCTCATCCCTCCTGTGCTTCAACATCTCTTCCAGGAGGATCTGTTCCATGTCCAGGATGGTTCCATCCCCATCGGGAGCTCAGTGCAATTTGCAGCAGGTGGGGAGTCAGCCCCCGAGCCCCCCGCAGAAGAGCTGGGACACGTGGGACACACACACACATCCACCTCTCTGCAGCACCACCAGCTGGGAAGGAGGGCTGATGGAAAACCCCACGCTGTGATCCCGTCCTCCTGCTGGCTTCTGCCCACACTAAAGCAGCAACACCTGCTCTGCCAGCCCCAAACCCCCCAAACCCACCCCCAGCCCACGGACCAACCTCGTGCCTCTCCTGGAACTCCGACATGTCCAGTCTGATGAAACCCTGGAAGAAAAAAGAAGCACAGCACGTGAGCCTCCATGCAAACGCTCCAGGTTTGGGCACATTTGGAAGGTCCTCCAGAAGGAGGTGGCTGCACGGATGGACAGCCTCCTGTTTGCTTTGTCCTCAAGCCAAAGCTTTCAATGGAAAACCCTTCCACGGGGAGCAGCTCAACCCACTCAGCCCAACACTGCCTGCAGATTTGAGGCTGAGGTCTCACTCCAGCACATGTTCCCACCAGCAAAGGGGAGAGGAGCTTTACCTTCTTCACATCCTTGTGGATGTACTTGGCTGTCTGCTTGGCCAGCTCTGTTTTACCTGTTGCAAACACAAGCACGTGGTCAGTATTCCACCTTCTGGGTTCTACTCTCCAGATAAAGGATTGCAGGGAAAGGATGGAACGTTTTTGATGCCTCAGCCAGCTGAGAAATGGCTGACACGAAGACACGTGGGGCGTTTTGGTGTGTGCACACTTGCTCTTCCAGACACCCCCACCCCCAAAACCCACACAGCACATCCTCTGATACAACACAGCTCTCAGCTGCTTCGCTTTCCTGTCTCAAAATCCATTCATATCTCATCTCAATATCCATTCATACCTTATTTCAATATCCATTCATACCTCATTTCAATATCCATTCATACTTCATTTCAATATCCATTCATATCTTAACTCGGTATTCATTCACATCTTATCCCCTGCCCCTGCCCAGGGAGGAGAGGCGCCGGCGTTGCTTTGAATGCCACCATTTGGTTACTTGAAATCTCATTATTTTTAATTTTTTCCCCGCAAGTAAAACTCATTCTGCCCATTTCACGAACCAATCGGCTGTCACGCTGCTCGAGAAAAAAATATGATCAGCCACCAACAGAAAGATGCTGCTGCAAAGTGATCAGAGCCCGCGTGAGCAGAAGGAAACCGGGTTTGTGAGCTGCCAATTCCCACTGCCACCCACCCACAGCTCCCACCCACGGAGGAATCCCTGTGGGACAGCAGGGCACTGCTCGACCTGTGCTCCTCTAAGGGGAAAACGTTCCTTTTGGAGCTGGGATGAGCAGTGTGAGGGATGTGGGCATGGGCAGCGCGGGCGGGTGGTGCGCAGCCCTTCTTTGGGATGGGTTTGGGATTTGGGTTCAGGTTGGGGAGGGTCTGGTTGGTTACGAGGGAAAATTTCTTCCCCAAAGAGCGGCCATGCAGTGCACAGCTGCCCAGGGAGTGGGGGGATCCCTGGGGTGCCCCAGAGCTGCAGGGATGCGGCGCTGCGGGACGCAGTGGGGATGATGGGGATGGATTTCATCATCTCAGTCTATCGCAACCTTTGTGATGCTGTGGCTGTGTGCACCAGCTCTGCATCCCGCTCACGTTACCTATCCCAGATGATCCCAAGAAGAGGAAGACCAGAGGGTGCTCCTCGTCGTACCAGCCGTTCTCCTTCCTCCGAATTGCTGCCACGGAAACAAAAGTCGGGGGGGGGGGGGGGGGGGAGAAAGCGTATAAATCAATGACACAAAAGCAAGTATAATTATCACTAAGTATACACTATGTTTTACTGCTCTCTGCCCACTCAAAGTCCTCCCTGCCATTAGTGCTATCTAATTTGATTAGCCAGCAAAGGCCCCAGAGACACCTAATCAGGTTAGCATGGATTTGGAAAGCTGCCCAGAGCAGATTTCGGATAAACTTTTCCAGGATGTGCACTCAGCGTTGCCAGGGAGACGGCGAGGAGGGGGACAGGGGATGAGCTGAGCGGCACGCCGGGCTTCCAGCTCCGAGCTCAGCCAGCCTTCCTGTGAACACAGCAGCTCTGCACGGCTTTGTTGTTGTTGTTGTTGTTGATTTGTTGGTCAGTGTTTTCTTCTCGCATTATTTCTCGCGTGCGTACGAAAAAGAGGGAAGGATGCAGAGCTCTGGGTTGACGCGGGGTTTGTGCTGCATGGGTGATGCCAAAGCTTAAGGCACCAGGGGGAAATTTGTGCTTCTGAAACAACAGAACGAGGGTTTGGAGGCCCAAACGTCTGCTTCCCTTCCCTAATTCCGACAGCGCAGCCCTGCTACTACACCAGTCTGGTGTGCGGTGCTGGGGGCACCTCTCACCCCATACGGGTTCCTACAACCAGCTGAGATATGATTTACCCCTCAGTCTGATCAGGCACTGAATCACAAGGCTGCTCGAGAGAGGTGGAAGAGGAGGAAGGACGTCCTAAGCCAAGAGGAACAAACAGAGCGCCACCAGCAGCTGGATGGGGCTGTGGGCTGAGAAATGGGCTCAGACCATTTAAGAATTCTGCCTTAGTGGGCATGGTGGTGCTGGGTTGGTGGCTGGAGGTCATTTCCAACGTTCACAGCTCTGATTCCAGGATTCTTATTGGGCATGGTGGTGCTGGGCTGGCAGTTGGAGGTTACTTCCAACCTTCATAGTTCTAATTCCATGACTCTTATTGGGTATGGTGGTGATGGGTTGGCATCTGGAGGTCATTTCCAATGTTCACAGCTCTGATTCCACGATTCTTAGTGGGCACGGTGGTGCTGGGTTGGTGGTTGGGTTATACTGGAGGTCATTTCCAACCTTCACAGCTCTGATTCCAGGATTCTTAGTGGGCACGGTGGTGCTGGGTTGGTGGTTGGAGGTCACTTCCAACCTTCATAGCTCTGATTCCAGGATTCTTGGTGGTGCTGGGTTGGCAGCTGGATTTCCAACCTTCACAGTTCTGTGATTCCACAACTGGGCACGGTGATGATGGACTGGCAGTTGGATTTGATGATCTCTAATCGCATCCCACCCAACTGGGGTGGCAGGGCAGGGCAGGTTGGATATCAGGAAAAGCTTCTCTGAGAGTGGTTGGGCATGGTCACCACCCATGGAGGTGTCCAGAGCTGTGGCGATGTGGCACTGAGGGCTGTGGTCAGTGAGCATTGGTGGGGTGGGATGGAGTTCGACTTGGGGATCTCAGAGAGCTTTTCTGACCTTAATGACTACAGAGAATCGCCGAGGTTGGGAAAGACCTCTGAGATTTCCAAGTCCAACCGTCCACCCATCGCCAGCACTTCCCTCTAGCCCACATCCCTCAGTACAGCACCTAAATGCTTCCTGAACACCCCCAGGGATGGTGGTGACTCCACCTCCACCTCCTTGGGCATGGCTCTACGAGCGGGCACGGCGGGGGTGGGATGGAGTTGGAACTTGGAGATCCCGGAGATCTTTTCCAACCTCAATGATTCTGTGATTCTATTCCACGATAACGTGATCCCAACAACAGGCGTGTGGAGAGATGCTCCTGCAACGAAGCTACGGATGGGCAGCAACAAGTCGCCTCTGCCAGCAGGAGGTGAAGAGGGGAAGACATTAAATAGGAGCTGCTGGGGTGAGCGCTGCGAGGGCTGAGGATTGACCTGAGCATCTCCACCCCGAGCAGTCCTGCCTCCCGCCCGGGCTCAGTTGTTGTTGTTGTTTTTTTAATGGATGGGGAATAACAAGGACACCGACAATTTCTGCAGCTATTTCAGCGAAGATAATAAAGGTAATAAACTTTTGCTCGGGGGCACGGAGTGACCACTTGCAGGGGTCAGCCCGCTCGGCGCTGCGGAGGCGGCGAGGTTAAGTGCTGTGTTTTTTTCAGCAGGACATCAGGGCTTTATGGATAAGAGCTCGGCTCCCTCCTGATATACACCGTGCCATAAAAGCTGCCACGAGGTTACTGCCTGTGATTCAGTGTCGAGCCTTGGCTGCAAGGTGCTGACTGCTGCTGTCTAGAGTGGGTTGGGTAGATCAACAGAGTGACGAGGTGTAAAAGCTTTCCTATAAGCGGCCTTGAAGTCAGGATACGGCCCAGCCCTAAGCTTTGGAAAACCATTCTGGCCATCCACAGAGAGGGCCAGCGTCTGACAGCTCTCCACCTCCGAACTCCACGGGGTTGGTGCTGGGAAGAGGAAGAAAGACGCTGTTTTGGGGACAAAGCACAGCAGTCTGAAGGATGAGAACCACAGGCAAAGCTCTGGCAGCTGGCAGCAACGCTCCTTTCCTTGGGCTTCTCAACCCAACTCTTCTCCGTCGCCACCCCACAGGTCTGCGCCGAACCTCTCGGCAAGCTCAGCTGCAGGGATGGCAGACATGGCTGACGGGGGGCAGGCCACGCTTCGTGATGGCATTCAGACCCAAAATCCTCGTGAAGAGGCCGACGATGACATCCAGGTCTCCTTCTTTGGAGCCGTTTCCAGCGCTGCTGCCGCGCTCCCCGTTTATTTTGTCCATCCGTAACGGCGTAACCGTGGCGCTGCGTCTCCGAGAGGCCCTTCAGCCTGCTATTGAACTGATAAATTCACTGTATTACTTTACACAAATCAATACCCCAGCAGTTATCAGGGGTTGATGTGACCGAAATTGGTTTCAGCCAATTTGTGAGCGTAATAAATGTCCATTTATCAAATCAATTCATTCCGTGGTGCTCCTCGGACCACCCGGCGCGGGGTGCCAGGGGCTGACGTCCCCGGCTCTGTCCCCAACCTGGGATGGGGGATGAGCCCCTTCCTGGTCCTGTCTGACCTGATGGCGTGGTCCCAGTGTTCTACCTGCACTTGGACCCGACTCAGCCTGCCTTGCTACAATACAGACTGGAAACACCAAAATAAAGCACTTGTAGGGCATCCCACCTCCTCTGAATTTCCCTCGGATCAGGAACATTCCTGCTTGTCCTTTTTCTCCCAGCTTTGCCACTCCAGCTGATTCCAGCACTGTAACCGCCCAGCACGTTGAAAGTTTGTCGTTTTACGATTTAAAAGGAGATTGTCTACAACACTCGTAACCACTAACCTGAAAACTTCACAGCCCTTTTCCTTCCTCCCTCCTTACTCAGCTTCAGCAAGTCCTACCACAAAGTGCTCCAAACCAAAAGGGCTGGAAAATGAAACTGAACTGTGGAATCACCAAAGTTGGAAAAGACTTCCAAGACCTCATCAAGTCCAACCATCAACTCGTCACCCACTAAATATGTCCCTCAAATATCATATGTGGGTTTGGTGAAGGTGTCTGTGTGCCATACTACAAGGTGAAATATCCCATGTGGGTTTGGTGAAGGTGTTTGTCTGCCATATTACAAGGTGAAATATCCTGTGTGGGTTTGGTGAAGGTGTCTGTGTGCCATGCTACAAGGTGAAATATCCCACCTGGGTTTGGTGAAGGGTTTTGTCCACCACATTACAAGACCACAGAATCAAAGAATTGCACAATCATCAAAGTTGGAAAAGACCTCCAAGGTCTCACCAAGTCCAACCATCAACCCCATCACCATCGTGCCCACCAAATATGTCCCTCAAATATCCCACCTGGGTTTGGTGAAGGTGTTTGTCTGCCATATTACAAGGTGAAATATCCCATATGGGTTTGGTGAAGGTGTTTTTGTGCCATACTACAAGGTGAAATATCCCATGTGGGTTTGGTGAAGGTGTCTGTGTGCCATACTACAGGGTAAAATATCCCACCCGGGTTTGTTGAAGGTGTTTGTTTGCCATGCTACAAGGTGAAATATCCTGTGTGGGTAAACACAGGTAAAACACCTTCACCAAACCCATATGGGATATTTCACCTTGTAATATGGCAGACAAACACCTTCACCAAACCCAGGTGGGATATTTGAGGCATATATTTGGTGGGCACGATGGTGATGGGTTGATGGTTGGACTTGGTGAGACCTTGGAGGTCTTTTCCAACTTTGGTGATTGTACAATTCTTTGATTCTGTGGTCTTGTAATGTGGTGGACAAAACCCTTCACCAAACCCAGGTGGGATATTTCACCTTGTAGCATGGCACACAAACCCCACAAACAAACCCAGGTGGGATATTTGAGGGACATATTTGTTTGGCACGATGGTGATGGGTTGATGGTTGGACTTGATGAGATCTTAAAGGTCTTTTCCAACTTTGGTGATTGTGCAATTCTTTGATTCTGTGGTCTTGTAATGTGGGTTTGGTGAAGGTGTTTGTTTGCCACACTACAAGGTGAAATATCCCATGTGGGTTCGGTGAAGGTGAACCAGGCAGCAGCAGCTGCACCTCCATCACTGTGCTGCACGGGGTGCCCTCGTCCCACCCCAGCAGTCAGCACCCAGCTCCTCTCTTTCTGTGGGGCTGAAAGCAGAGCTGGGCTCTGACACACCTCCCAGAGATGGCAGAGGGGTTCCTGCCCCCTGGGATCCCTTTGGAGGTGCTGTGGCCGTGGCACGGTGTGCAGTGTGAGCACCCCATACCCACGCGCTGTGCCTGGAGCTCACGTCCCCTTTGTGCTGCCCTGGAGCCTGCCTGGATCGTGCACCGAGCGGCGGATTAAATCCAATTACTCAATTAGGGAGCTGTTATAAATGAAACGCATCGGCGACGCCGGGGAGCCCACAGCGTGGCAGCAGAAAGCAGAGAGGAGCAGAAGTGCTGGGAAGAAAGAGTCACGTCTGGAAATTCACCCTTCCTGAAAGAAAATGGGGCAGGAGGGAGGAGGGGGAGGAGGGGTTTGGAGCCTCTTCCTCTACCTTTTGGTCTGATGTCCTGAGGCTGCGGGGGGATCAAGCACATTCCCTATAATTCAATAAGAGAAACCTCCATAAAGGCGGCCGCTTTAATGCGCGCAAACACCACCTGTGTCAGAAGCAGGCACTGCCCATTAATCAAAGCTTCCCAATTAGCCCGCGCCGCTGCCCCCAGGCACAGCCGCTGTCGGAGCAGAGGGTGTCTGCTGTGCTTTGCAGGGCTCTGAGCTGGCCCAGCACTCCCCTTTGTTAGCAGCACAGCCTGGGTTTTGTATCCGTGACAGAGCCCTGCTTGCTGTTCTGACCTCAGCCCTCCCTGCCCGCTCTGAAGCACTGGGTTCGGGTGCAGGGAGGCTGGAGGAATTGCTGGCTCGCGGTGTGGATCATAAAGCTGCTCTGTTGGTTTGTTTTTTTTTCCCCCCCAGCTCTATCAGAACGTCAGCGCTGCCTCCCAGCCATGCTGCAAGCCTGTATCCTCCAGCACAGCCACCAGAGGCCAGGCTCCCCACTTCCTTACGAGTTAATTTCTTTTTTAATAGGGGAAAACACAGAATTCCAAGTACAGTAACAACACCTGCAGAGAAAGGCGTTGCTGCACGCTGTCAGGAGGTCCAAGGGAAGCTGGAAACAACTGCAGGAGGTAGGGCAGGTATTTACCTCCTGATGCTGCACTGCACAGAGCTGCAGCTTCCGGGCCAGGGGTGCAAACTGTTGGATGCTGAGGGAGAAGAGTGGGGCAGAGCCCCTCTGTATCTGTCTGCTAATGGTCTCTACTGATCTGATGTAGCACACACAGACGAGGAATAACTGCTTATCTAAGCACAGGGCTGAGCTGATGAATAGGAGCTCTGCAGAGAAGCACCTGGCTGTCTTGGTTGACCAATGGCTGGCTGATGGCTGACCAACAGCTGACCAATGGTTGGCTAATAGTTCACCAATGGTTGGCCAATGGTTGACCAACAGTTGACCAATGATTGGCCAACAGTTAACCAACAGCTGACCAATGGTTGGCCAATGGTTGACCAATGGTTGGCTGATGGCTGACCAACAGCTGAACAATGGTTGGCTAATAGTTCACCAATGGTTGGCCAATGGTTGACCAACAGTTGACCAATGGTTGTCCAATGTTTGGCTAATACTTGACCAATGGTTGGCCAGTGGTTGACCAACAGCTGACCAATGGTTGACCAACAGCTGACCAATGGTTGGCTAATAGTTCACCAATGGTTGGTCAATGGTTGACCAACAGTTGACCAATGGTTGACCAACAGTTGACCAATGGTTGACCAACGGTTGACCAATGGTTGACCAATGATTGGCCAATGGTTGACCAATGGTTAGCCAACAGCTGAGCAATATTTTGGACCAAGGGTGGATCAGTGGTTGGCCATGAGGCAGCAGTGTGCCCTGGTGGCCAAGAAGGCCAACGGTGTCCTTGCTGGCCAACAACTGACCATAGGTTGAGCACAGACTATCAGTGTGTGCCATGGTGGCCAAGAAGACCAGCTGAGGTGCACAGAGTGTGGGCAGCAGAGCAGGGAGGTGCTCCTTCCCTCTGCCCTGCCCTGGGGGCCACATCAGAAGCACTGCATCCACTGCTGGGCTCCCCAGCTCCAGGCAGAAAGGGAACTGCTGTGGAGAGCCCAGCGAGGGTGCAGAGATGGTGGGGGCCTGGAGCAGCTCCTGGTGGGGACAGGCTGAAGGCTGAGCAGCTGGGGGAGAGAAGGATGAGAGGGGATCTTGCAGCCTGCTCTAGGGAACCTGCTTTAGCAGAGGGATGGACTGGGGGATCTCCAGAGGTCCCCTATGGATCTTTGACTGTGTGTGAAGCGTGGCCATACGCACTCCTATTTTCTTCATGGAACAAAGCCCCACGTGGGTGAGCAGCACAGAGAAACCCCCCACGTGGGGGGTGTTTATGTACAAACTGCCATTAGAGCCATCAGTGAGCTATTAACGAATAACACTGGTAAGACAAACGTGGCTTGGACCTCACCTGCCCCCACCGTGGCTATGGCACTCTCCTGGCCGATGATGTGCTCCTTCAGCCTCTGCTCCAGAGGGAACCTGCGGCGCTCCTCCACCTCCCGGCGACGCTGCTCCTCCTGGAACTGCAAAGGGGAGAAAGCGTTGGGAGCAGGAAGGGGCTGAGCAGGGAGGGGAATGCCTGTGTCTAAAGTGGGCTGTAAGAACGAAGGGGACAGAGGGGAACGCCTGCATCTAAAGGAGCTGTAAGAAAGAAGGGGAGGGACTCTGAGTGACACGGCGAGAGGAAATGGTTTTAGACAAAAAAGAGGGGAGGTTTAGACTGGATATTAAGAAAAAGTGTTTCTGATAAGGCTGGTGAGGCACAGGCAGAACGTAGAGGTGCTACATGTCCCATCCCTGGAGACACTCCAGGTCAGGTTGGATGGGGCTCTGAGCACCTGATGGAGCTGTGGGTGTCCCACGAGTGGACCAGACGGCTTTTAGGGGTCCCTTCCGACTCAAACTGTTGTGACCTATGGTTGTACACAGCTCTGCAGCCCGTGCCGTGGCATGCAGGATGGCACCGACCCCAAAGGCTGCTCCCCCAGAGCTCACCATTCTGCTCAGCACCGTGAGCTCACAGCTCCCCACTGCCAGCCAGGCGCGGGGAACCCGCAACGAGTGCGAGAAATCCAAATAAATTAAAAATACATATGAAAACTCCCTTGTTATTCTGTCACCAGGATATGTAAATAAAATCTATGGGCCGTGCCCATTCGGTAACAGCTCTGCCAATTCATTCTGTGGCAGTGATTAAAACGAGCAATAAATTCTCAAAGACTCTCGGCGGAGCGCAGGAATTGGGGCGGCTGCGACCCCCGGAGCGCCGCGTCCCCCCCGGTGCTGCGTTCATCACATCTGCCTGGGCTGCCTTATGTTTTATACACACGGACCATCATCCGCAGCAGGAATATATCTCCTTTCTCTCCCCAGTCTATTTGTTAAAGCGTAAAATCCGAGGCGTCTTTTCGGGCTGTTTGGAGCAGGTTTTGCCAGCGCTGCACCCTGGGGACCATTTGCCCGGCAGCGATTCCTTCTCCTCCTCCTCCCATAAAGATCCAAAGGATTTTGAGCTCGGTTTTGCTGCCTCCCAGCTCTGCAGTTTCCCACTTCCACCCAGCATGGAATGCAAACGTTCCACGCTCAGGACATGGATGTGGATCTGAGCTCCTCTCTCCTGTGCTGGGGGAGCGCAGGTTTGTCCACCCGGCTGAATCAATGCAGCCACTGCTGCTGCACCAACCACCAAGCACCTCCAGCTTCCAAGTCCTCTTAACCTCATGTTTCCTGCAGGTGAGCTGAAATTCCAACCTGCAGAGCGCAGCCTGATGTGGGACAACGCGGTGCCGCTCGCGCTCTCATTCCCAGGGCAGCAATGAACATTCCCAGCCCGAAGCTGGGGGCAAACTGGGGCTCCCCACCCCCTGGTGGCTCCTTCTGATCGAGAATGACAGCTCCTGCCTCAACCAGGTCCCATCCCTTGGGATTTCGGATCCCGTGCACCGCGAAGCTCAGCTCACCTTTGCCTCCGATGCCTTCAGGAGGTTCATCACCTCCCCTTCACGGGCGTAATCCAGCGGCGTGTGGCCCATCTCGTTCTTCTGCAGGGGGTTGGCACCTGTTGGCAGGAAGAAAGGGAGGAGGTCAGGGAGCCCTGGGGCAGAGGGGGCACAGGGTGCATCTCCTGTGTGGGTGTCCTGTTCTGATCTTTGCTCTGAGCACGTAGGGACAATCCCACGGGCTGCAGGGGAAAAACCCCTCTCTTCTTTGGGATTACGTTGGGAACAAAGAGCCAGGAAAGCCCGGAGGCTGAGCTGCTGTGGGGCGCTGCCCGCAGAGAGCCAAACCTGCGCGGTGAGCACAAACTGGTCCCAGTTCTGTGCTGGGAAGCAGCAGTGTGGGTACAAAGAGCTGGGCAGGCCAAGGTCAGGAGGCAGAGATGTGGGGTAATAGGGGAATAGGAGGGACACCAGTATGGCACCATGGGAACAGGAGGGACATGAATATGGCACCGAGGGAATAGGAAAGACATGAGTATGGCACCAGGGGAACAGGAAAGACACCAGTATGGCACAATAGGAATAGAAGGGACACAAATATGGGACCATGGGAATAGGAGGGACACGAATATGGCACCAAGGGAATAGGAAAGACACTGGTATGGCACAATAGGAATAGGAGGGACACAATATAGCACCATGGGAATAGAAGGGACACAAATATGGCACCATGGGAATAGGAAAGACATGAGTATGGCAACAGGGGAATAAGAAAGACACCGGTATGGCACAATAGGAACAGGAGGGACAGAAATATGGCACCAAGGGAATAGGAAAGACACCAGTATGGCACCAAGGGAATAGGAAAGACATGTGTGGCACCTGGCACCATGAGGATAGGAGGGACACCAGTATGGCACCATGGGAGTAGGAGGGACACCAGTACGGCACCACAGGATCCAGCCCCAGCTCCTGGGAATCAGACACATCTCCTGGCACAAACAGTCACAGATGTGTGAGTGCACAGCAGCTGTAGGGGATGGGTGAGCCAGGAGCAGGGCGCTGAGCACTGCTGAGCCTTGGCACTGGGAACCAACGTTTGCTAACAGAGTGAAAAATGCCCTCCACAAACACTCGGCACGGAGGGATTTCCAGCTCCAGCCTTGTCGTGGCGGATGAGGGAGATGATGGAGACAGGGGATGGGATGCAGCACGGGGCTGTGGGGGGAGGCGGTGAGGAGGGGGCTCTGTTGGGTTGGGTCCTCCCCACGATGCCAGCCTCGAGGCTTTCCCTCCAAACAACCGCTTGCGGGTTGGTCCTCCATCCCCCGGACCTATCAATAACGGCCACCCATCCAATATTGGCTTAATCCCCCCGTTAATGGCTTTGACGACTTGACTAATTGCTGCAATAATTGATAGAACCCGGCTCGTCCAACCGGTCGATCCCCACCTCCGGCACCGCCGCCATAAATAACGCTGTCACCCCCCCTGCTAATGGAACACCGCCGCGGCTGGCGGCCTGACCTCGCCACCCCACCACCACCCACGCCGCCGTAATGGGAGGCCATTCGTCACCTCCTGCCGCTGTCACGGAGCCAACACCTGGGCAGCACCTCGGGCTGTGCTTCCTGCACCTCCCGCTCGCGTGAGGAGGCCCCAGCTTATCATATTTGATGAATGGCGCGGCAGCTCAACTGCCAGCGCCCGCGCGCGCGCCACGCCGGAGCAGCTGCGGAAGGTCACTCATTGGGGAAATATGTTTCTGCCAGTGGTATCGAAAAAAGTTTAGCGGAGTGACAGGCCTCAATTTTTCAAATTTTATTAACTCCATCCCCTTAACCATTTGTCTTGAATTCCTTCGGATTACAGATAAGTGTCAATAGAGCGCGGGATGCGGCGCGCCGGTGCCTGCCTTCCCCGTGCTGGGGGGCGGTGGGGAGCAGCAGAGCTCCTGGAGAAGCTGGCCAGGGCTGGGCCCGTGTCCTCACTCCTTGTCCTGCGTCCTTATCCTTGTCCTCCATCCCTGTGCCATGTCCTCCATCCCTGTGCCATGTCCTCCATCCTCGCTCCTTGTCCTCCATTCCTTACTCCATGTCCTCCATCCTTATTCCTTGTCCTCCATCCTTGCTTCTTATCCTCCATCCTTACTCCATGTCCTCCATCCTTATTTCTGGTCCTCCATCCTTATTCCCTGTCCTCCATCCTTATTCTTTGTCCTGCATCCTTACTCCATGTCCTCCATCCTTATTCTAAGTCCTCCATCCCTATTTCTTGTCCTCCATCCTTATTTCTGGTCCTCCATCCGTATCCCTTGTTCTCCATCCTTACTCCATGTCCTTCATCCTTATTCCAAGTCCTCCATCCCTATTTCTTGTCCTCCATCCTTACTCCACGTCCCCCATTCTTACTCCCTGTCCTCCATCCACGTCCTCCATCCTTGCCCCATGTCCTCCATCTTTGCTCCATGTCCTCCATCCTTATCATTGTCTTCCATCCTTACTCCCTGCCCTCCACCCTCACTCCTTGCCCTCCATCCTTGTCCTTGTCCTCCATTCTTATTCCCTGTCCTCCATCCTTGCTCCATGTCCTCCAACCTTGCTCCATGTCCTCCATCCTTACTTCTTATCCTCCATCCTTACTCCATGTCCTCCATCCTTATTTCTTGTCCCCATCTTTATTCCCTGTCCTCCATCCATGTCCCCCATCCTTGCTCCATGTCCTCCATCCTTGCCCCATGTCCTTCATCCTTACTCCTTGTCCTCCATCCTTATTCCTTATCCTCCATCCTTATCCTTGTCCTCCATCCTTACTCCATGTCCTTCATCCTTACTCCAAGTCCTCCACCTTTATCCTTGTCCTCCATCTTCATTCCTTGCCCTCCATCCTTATCCTTGTCCTTCATACTTATTCCTAGTGCTCCATCTTTATACCTTGTCCTCCATCCCTGCCCTCCATCCTTACCCCATGTCCTCCATTCTTATTTCTTGTCCACATCCTTATTCCCTGTCCTCCATCCTTATTCTTTGTCCTGCATCCTTACTCCCTGTCCTCCACCCTTATTCTTTGTCCTCAACCTTTGCTCCCTGTCCTCCATCCTTGCTCCCTGCCCTCCCCCCTTGCCCCAGAAAGGCAGAATGGACCTCACTTCACCAGCAACCCACATGGGCACGCAGAGAGCTGCGTCCCTTCAAAGACTGGCTGCAGAGAAGCTTGGGAGAACCTCTGGGAGTGGGACAAGGAATGTTCACCATCCTGATGTCCTCCTCTGTTCCCACCCTGAAGTGACTGGGCAAATCTGTGCAGAAATCAGCACAGCTTCAGCCTGGCGCACACAGAACACCATTCCCATCAGCAAAAAGCCACCTCCAGTCTCCCAAAGCTCTTCCCTATTTAGAGCAACTTCAGAACTCGTTTTACTGAGGGCTCCTCAAGCTCTCCTGGGTCCCTCCATGTCATCCCAGCCCCTCCTGGGCCCCCCTCAGCCCCCAGCAGCGCAGAGCCCAGGTGCTGGAGCATGGATGAAGCCCTCTCGACTCATTTTTCTGGTGAAGCAAACTGAATCCTAGCAAGGGGACACTGGAAAATGCTTCAGTCTACAGCGGGTCCCACCTCTCCATGGCTGTGTTCCATCACCAAAGAGCCAGGGTGTGCTCCAGGGAGCAGCTCACGGCACCTGCTGGGATCGCAGAGTGCCAACAGCCGTCAGCTCTGACAAGGACTGACACTCTTATTGCTGCACATGGCCAGTTACGGTAATACGAAAGGACTCCTGTCCTCCTGAGCCTCCCGTGATTGAATTAGCATGATCACCCTTTTTTTTTCCAGTAACGGAGACCTCTTTTTTTTTTTTTTTAATCAATAAGACACATCGTTTGCAAGAGGTTTTTATCATGCCGCGTTAATACGAGCCTGCGAGCCTGACCTCCCCCTCCTCACACCTCCATCAATGGCAGGGATGTGTCAGTGGGCACTGTTCTGCTCACTGGATATGGACACTGAGCTCTGCTGAGGATCTGCCCCTGATCCCAGCCCAAAGGAATGTGAGCAACGCTCCGCAGAGGAGCAGCAAGGCAAAAAGAATGACAATTTCCAAGGTATCGGGTAGAGTTTGGGGGTTGGAGACTGATGATCCTTGAGGTCCCTTCCAACCCGGGCCATTCTATGACCTTGGAAGGTCTCCCTTCCAACCCAAATGATGGACTGCAAGGATGGGAATTCCCGAGGCAGAGCAGGAATCCAGCAGGGTGCCTCCTCCTCCCAGCAATGGTGGTTGGATTGCACAAAGCAACGCCGTGTGGAGGGATGGGGGAGAACCAGAAGTGACGGGGTGCTAAAGACGTCCACAACGGCCAAGTTGGAAAGTAAACAACAGGGATTTATAGAGGGGTGGGATGCAGGCCAACACTGAAGAGCAAGGCTGAGCTACAGCTTCTACCAATGCTGGTTGTGTGGGACACAACTCAGGTTAGCACGTGTGGTGGGGATGGGTTGGTGACTGGACTTTGGAATCTTGGAGGCCATTTCCAACCTTAATGACTCTTTGATTCTATGAGCAAACACGGTGGGGATGGGATGGAGGTTGGACTTGGGGGGATCTTGAAGGTCTTTTCCAACCATGACCCAGTCAGTTCCACTTTCATGTTGGCAGGTGAGCTCCCGTTTTGCTGCCTGAAGGACTACAGATGTAGGCGAGGACCGTGCCAGGCAACCAGAATCAGCGATCTGTAAGGTTCTTATTACCTACACAGATCTTGCAGGTCTCTTCCTTCATCATTCTATGACTCCCTGACTTGGGATGTCCTTTCTCAGGTGTCTTAGTGGACAGTGCTGTCCTTCTCAATCCCTTATACAACAAGCTGGCCCACCTGCCCCCTCCCACCTCGACTGATGCCATTGGGATGAAGGTTGGTGCTGCCCACTCAGTGCCCACCTCCTGTCTGCACAGCAGCACAACAGGACGGGAAACCAAAGAACCACCACCTCTCCCTCTCTCCACGTGTGCACAGCTATTAAAACTCACAGCAAACACGACGTCACTGTGCCCAGAAATACTCCGAGAGGGATCTATTTGCTCCCCTGCCCTATGGGGAAACCATCCTTAAGTACTGCGACACCGCCGGAGCTGCGATCAACTTATTGCTCTCGCCACGTTAAGCTTCAGTGCTGTGAGATGATTGGTTTTTAAATCCCAGTCTCCCAGGATTTTAATTACTGGTCTGGCACGGCCGGGAGTGGAGCTTGCTGTGGTCGGACGGAGGGGTCGATACGCCGTCCCGGAACATATTGAGCCACGGTGCTCGCAGACTCTATTGCACTATTTAATCATTTTTTTTTTTTGCAAAATTTACAGCGCAGCAGAAGGGATCAATACTGAATTTATCACATTCCCTTGTAAATATGAGCACGGAGAGGGGAAAGTGTCTCAGGCTCTCCTGCCCAACAGCTGGCTGGGGGTGGGTGCTGCCTGCAGCGTGCACGGTGGGGGGCACGCAGGGGGCTGCCCAATGCTGTTCCTGCCCCCCATGGGGCAAGGAAAGGCCTGGTGTGGGGCTTTGCTCGCACATCAGCTCAAGGTTAACAGGTTCTTAGCTCCAGCCGGGACGAGGCAGAAGCAGAGCAGCTTGCAGCTCTCCTTTCCCCTGGCTGAGCTGAGGGCAGCAGGGTGGGAGCGCTCAGAGCATCAGCCCTGGAGGAAGGCAGTGCTCTGCTCAGTGCAACTTTTGCTCATTGGAAGAGCATTTTGCTAAGGGAGGTGATCTCAGAGCCTTCAACCAAAACAAAAAGCAGCAGCACAGGGTGAGGGAGGGGAGGGGGGGGAGGTGCCACCAGCAGAGCTCAGCTCTAGCTCTGCTTCCCCAGATCACAGAGGTGATGGTGGCACATCAGCGTGGTGGAGTGAGATCTGGAAGGGCACTGAGCTTCACATGCCTGCAGAAAGCAGACCTTGGAAGAGGGGCTTTCATGCAGCAGATTGAAACGGTGCCCTTAGAGAAGCGAGGTGCTTCCATGTCTGCCCAGAGAGCCCCCCCCCCGCCTCCTTCCCTTCCCAGCAAACAAAAAGCCCCCGGATCGATCCGTGCTGGTGCACAGCAGCTCACACCCACTCCTTCACACGGAGGAGGACATTGATGGTGTCAGCTCAGGTCGGGAGGCTGTGAAATGTCACCAGCGAGGACAGCGGGATGCCTCGCGCTCTGCTGGGCACGCACATGCTGACCACTGGGGGAGGAGGTCCAGAGGGGTCACCGAGTCACTGAATGGGGCACAAAGGGGCAGGGGGCTTCCCCTATAGAGGCCCGGCGGGCGGCTGCTGGGGATGGGGAGGAGGGGGGGTGGCAGTTAATGGCTTTGGCCCTGAGGGCAGGGCATCGGGTAGGAAGTGCTGGGGAGAGTAAATGGACGCTTGGTTAAAATAAAGGCAGGTGTGGGGAGTGAGGGGGACTGCTCTGTGTCAGCAGGCAGGAAACGTCTTGCTTGGGGGGGAGAGAGGGGGAGGGACCCCATTGAGGAGCTGTGGGATGTCCCAAAAGAGGAGGAAAGGGATGGAGCAGCACTGCCAGCGTGGGAGGATCCACTGGATGGAATCATGGGTTGGGTTGGAGGGGCCCCAGGGAAGAGGGACACGTGTTGGATCGAGCAAGAAAACCATCATAGAACCACATAATGGAAGGGATCATGGAAGGCCACCTGGTCCAGCTCCAGTCCCAACCTCCCTTCTTCTAGTTTGAAACCATTTCCCCACGTCCCATCGCAACAGAGAACCAAGTCACCCTAAGAACAGCTGTTTTTGCACACGATCCCTTTGGTGCTCGCACAAACACAGCCCTACAGACGGCGTGACAGCCACGCAGTTTGCCTTGTGCCTTTTTCTGGAGCTCTGAGGTCAGGCATTGTCACAGACAGGGCTCTGTCTGTATGTGGCCATTCAGAGAGGTGACAGCAGCTCCAGCACGCAGCCCAGGCACCGAGGCAGCCCTGCATAGCGTGGCGATGGCACTGGGTTGGGCAGCACTGCCCAGCTCTGGTTCTGCACAGCGGTGTGACGGAGAAGCACATCATCGTGGTAAAGGACTGGTGGGAGGGTTGGCATGGCAGCACATCTCTGTTCTGTTAGTTAAGCACCTCCTTCCCCTCTGCTAAAGGAGTGGGCTACGTATAAACTGAATTAAGGAACGTTTATGTTGGGGAACCAGGAGCTCAGACTTCCAACTCAAAGCACTCTGCGATGACGCCGTCATCCGTGAGAACAGCCAGAGATGGCACAGAATGGAGACCGAGAGGTGAAAGCGAGCAGCAAATCGCATCTCATCCTCAAGACGGGACGGCGTGCCTCTCACTGAGCCCCCCACACGTGTGGGTCAGACCCACAAGCCGTGCCACCCACCTGCCTCCAGCAGCATCCTGACGCTCAGGTAGTCGTCGGCCAGCACGGCGTAGTGCAGGGCTGTGCAGCCACGGAAGCTGGCACGGACGTTCAGGCGGTTGTTGAACTCATCCTCCCGGGTCACAAGGACTGCAAGGAAGAAAAAGACACGGGTTGAAGAGCTGAGGAGCACAACCTTCCATCTCCAGGCTGTCCCCATTCTTTGGGACCCCGCAGTTCCTGTCCCGTGGGCTCTGCTTGCTGCCAGAGTGGGAATAATTCACAGTAACGCATTTTACAGCTCGCTGGAAAGCCTGGAAGTCCCTAAGCAAATGCAATTACCCCGAGCCCTGGCAGGTTTTGTGAAATCAGACCAAGAAACTGCGAGGCTGCTCTGAACAGAAACCGGTGCTTTCTGGAGCTGATTAATCAGATTTGTTTCCTTCCCTTGAGCCCCGCGTGCTGCTGAATGCCAATGTGCACTGATACCTGTGCGCAGCTCCCACCTGTCCCCAGGTCCAGCCTGCTTGCCCTTTTCTGGGGGTAAATCCCTCATTTGGGGAAGTCAGGCTGCATGGCACCACGTGGGCTGGGTGCTGTGCAGGGGTGGGGATGCTCTGTATCAGGTCCAGGCTAGAAAACTTCCTGAAATGTTAGCTGTTCTGTAACCATCAAAAATGGATGGCAACAACCGCATGTCTGTAGGGGCTGACACTGACAGTGTTAAGAGGTCGTTTCCAACCTTAGTGAGTCCGTGAGTGGGCACAGAGGGGATGGGTTTGCAGTTGGACTTGATTTTAAAGGTCATTTTCAACTTTAGAGACTCTTTGATTCTACAAGTGGACACGGTAGGGGTGGGTTGGCCACTGGAATTGACAATCTTAGAGGTTGTTTCCAAGCTTAATGACTCCCTGACTCTATAAGCAAACACAGTGGGGATGGGTTGGCCATCGGACTTGACAATCTCAGACATCTTTTCTGGACTTCATCACCTTAGAGATCATTTCCAACCTTAATGACTCTGAATCTACGAGCAGACATGGTGGGGGTGGTTGGTGGTTCCACTTGATGATCCCAGAGGTTGTTTCCAATCTGAACGACTCTTTGATTCTGTGAGTGAGCACGGTGGGGACAGGTTGGCCGTTGGGTTTGATGATCTTTGAGATCTTCTCCGGAGTTGACATTCTTAGATGTCATTTTCAACCTTAGGGACCCTATGAGTGGACACGGTGGGGATGGATTAGTTGTTGGACTCGACAATCTTTGAGGTCTTTCCCAACCTTAGTGAATTTCATTCTACGAGTGGACGCGATGGGGATTGGTTGACTGTTGGACTTGATGATCTCAGAGGTCGTTTCCAAGCTTAATGACTCTCTAATTCTATAAGCAGACACAGTGGGGATGGGTTGGCCATCGGACTTGCCAATCTTACGAATCGTTTCCGAACTTGACGATCTGAGAGGTCATTTCCAACCTTAGTGACTCTATGAGCAGACGTGGTGAGGATCAGTTGGCAGTTGGACTTGATGCTCTTAGAGGTCACTGCCAACCTTAACGACGCTTTGATTCTATGAACAGACGTGGTGGGGATGGTTGGTGGTTGGACTAGATGATCTTAGAGGTCTTTTCCAAGCTTGGTGATTCTATGAGCAGACGTGGTGAGGATGAGTTGGCGGTTGGACCTGATGATCTCAGAAGTCATTTCCAACCTTAATGAGTCTTTGACTCCACGGATGGATGAGGTGGGGATGGGTTGGCCGCTGGACTTGACAATCTTAGAGATCTTTTTTCGACTTGATCATCTTAGAGGTCATTTTCCACCTCAATGACTCTTTGATTCATGGTATGGATGGTTGGCGGATGGACCTGGCGATCTTAGAGGTCTTCTCCAACCTTAATGACTCTGTGGTTGTAGGGAATGGCAATGCCAGCTGCTGAATGAAAAGCCCATTGTCAGGGACTGCATCTCTTGGAAGATGGAGCATCAGGAAGGCCAGCGGGTGCAGACGGCGCTGCTCTGAACTGCAGCCTCCACGCTCCCTCCAAAGAACTGAGCAGATCTGAGAAGCTGAGCCCAGAGAACGCTGCAGTGCATACCTGATGCTGCTCCAGCCCAACATCTCTGCTAATGAACCGCAGTACCTCCAGAAGATCAATTAACACCCCGGCTCCTTCCCTTCCCCGGGTCTTCGCTCCGAGAGAACTGGGCGAGTACGTCTACTTATTTATTTGTCGTCATTTCCTACCCAGGGAGGAGCAGGATAATGAACTGCGTGCGTCAGGGAAGATGAATCTGAGATACTAGGGAGCAGTGCAGTAAAGAGATTAAAGTGTTATTATTGTTGGGTTTTTTTTCCCCCATGGTCCATTGTGACAGCTCGGCCGTCATCTGTAAAAAATGTCTCTGAGAGAGATAATCATCGGAAACTCAATAAAGCGTCAGGGGAAGCCTGCTCTGCCATCCATCACCGGGTGCCTGGAAATTTTCAGCCCTCCGTCTCCCCTTCCTGCCATCCATATAAATGTCTGTAATATATTTGGAGCGGCACCCCTCTCGATTTGGATGTTTTTATGAAAAAATATCGATACGCGAAATATGTAAATGGGTAAAAAAAATAAATAAATACATAAAAAGGGGGAAAAAAAAAACAACAAAGGCAGTTTCTCTCTTTCTCTCTCTCTCTCCCCCTCTCTTTTTTAAAATGCAACTGAATTTATTCTTTTTAATAAAACATGTCAAGCAAAGAATTAATGCAACTTCTCACAGCGCGGCCTTATCTTCTCTGCACCCCAAAACTATATAACATGAGAGAGGGATGAATGCAGACAAAAACAATTAACTTTATTGGTTGATGCACTTTGCCTTAAATAAAGTCTCTGTGCATGCATTATGTATTGGCATTCCATTGCTCATTTTTTAATGTTGTTTCATGCATTTTGCATTCCTTGCTCTGATCTACGGGCGTCCCCACCTCCGGCACGCAGCGGGTCTATGGGCCGTGGTGAGGGATGGGAGCAGAGATCACCACCCTGATCACAACCAACTTTCTCCGTACTTCCAGCCTGAATCACTCCTCGTTCAGTTTGGAACCATTTCTCCCCGTCCCATCACAGCAGAGCACAGCTGAAGAGGCCGTCCCTTCTTTCCCCCTTTAAGGTCCTGGGGGTATCTGCGTTGCTAAGGCTCAGCTCACGTGTGGACGGGGCAGGAGAGCTGGTGGGCCCAACATCCCAGCGCTGGGGATAACGTGGAGGTGGGGCTGGGACTTGAAACACAAGCCAGGAAAAGCTAAAACAGGAAGGAGCAGCCAGCTCTGTGCCATGCAGCCTTACTTACACCCAGACAACCCTCCTTCACTTGGGATCCATTTCTAAGCACTGCACTGCCCTCCCCCATGATGGTCAATGGGACGGGGCTCCCATCTGCAGTGCTGTGCTCTGGCCAAGAAAAAGGCTCTCTGTGGCACTGCAGAACTGCAGCTCCGTGTTGTTTGTTTTCTCTCACTGTCAGCCACCCACCCACCTGTCTGCCTGCACCTACATGGAAGCTGAGGTTAAACAGAAACAAAAAATGAAGGCTGTTTCCGAAAGGCAACGCAGCAGCTTCCATGTCAAAGCCAGAAAAGAAACTCTGGGGATCTCTGGAGCAGTACGTGAACAGCGTTACCTTCCAAAGAATGGAGGCCTTTCTCCTTGGCGGTCTCATAGACGCTGCTGAAGTCGTCCCCAAGGTTTGGATCTGCATTGGCTGCCAGCAGGACCTTCACCACGCTGCCAGGAACCAGGCAGAGGTAAAATGTGAGTGGTCAGATGGAGAGAGAGCCCAGAAAGCAAACAGCAGGGAAGGGAAGGCTCCGGGATAGGGATCCTTGAGGATGCCCCATCCCTGGAGGCATTGGAGGCCAGGCTGGATGTGGCTCTGGGCAGCCTGGTCTGCTGGTTGACGACCCTGCACATAGCAGGGGGGGGTTGAAACTAGATGATTATTATGGTTCTTTTCAATCCAGGCCATTCTTTCATTCTATGATTCTGTGGCTGGGAGAGGCGGATGTGGAAAGGGCTCGCTCACACTCAGGGTTTCTGTGCTGTACCACTCGCCCCAGCAGCCCCTCTGAGTCAGGGCAGCCCGCGGAAGCCACCCCAAAAGAGGCACCTCTTGGGTACGACTCAGCTCAGCCTCTTCCTTGCCCATTTCTGCCCTCCCAGGAGGAAGCACCGAGCTCAGCACTTCAGAAACAGATTCCAATGGCATTAATTATAAGGGTTCTGGAAGGAAAGCATCTGAGTGCTGCCTGAAGTTCAGTCAAACCTCTGCCCCCAGGAACCGGGCGGTCTGTATGAGATCCCTGCTGCAGACAGCCCCATCTCCTGCAGCCCAGCTCAGCAGCTGCCACCGCTTCTGGCAGGGATTTCATCTCAGCACTTCCTCAGCCTCTGCACACCGTGACTTTGATAACAGCGTAGGATGGGGCAGTGAGCACTGATGGGGCCGTGGGTGCCCCCGTTCCCTGCAGGGAACTTTGGAGCTCCAACTCAAACCATTCCAAGAGAGATCAGCACGAGCCACGCGTGGTGGGTTGCTGTGGACACCCTCCGCCTGTTTTTTCTGCACCCCGAATTCGATTTCTCACCGCCCCTACGAGCAGCTTGAAGCCAGTTCATTTCTCATCTTTTTTTCCTGGGTTCCAGCCTCCCCTGACAACTCGACAGCAAGGCGTTGGCTGGCATTCATCAGCCCTGACACGGCTCTGGGGCTGACAGCTCGGCGACGCGCCGGACTGACACGTACCTGCAGGCTGCCCCTTGTCAGCTCACATTTAGGATTTAACGTAAGCTTCTTTCCCATTTACCCCATAAATGCATTAGCAGGAATGAAAGGCGGTTATTTGGTTCTTCCAATATGGTGCAATAGAGGGAAGGCTCCTTGCTGGTACCACTTTGCCACGTACAGAGGTTGTTCCAGGGAGCAGAGCACCGTGCTGGAAGCCAGGAGAGCCCCCAGCCCCTCACCATGATCATACAGAGACCATTTAAACCCACACAGAGCTCTTCTGTATCCCTACAGAGCTCATTTAGACCCACACGGAGCTCCAGCCTCCAAGATCCCCAACCCACTACGAGCATTAAACCACATCCCTCAGTGCCAGAATCCCCATGAATTGGGAATTTCTCCTAACGTCCAACCTGTCGGTCCTCACGGTGCAGGTTCTGATGTGATCAAAGCTCTATAAAGCAGAGATAAGAAACACTTCCCTAACTTCAGACAGCTGGGAGTTTACCAAGCCCTGATACAATCTCTCACAGGCAAAATGTGGAGTTCCAAAAGCCCGGTGCCTGATGGCAGCTCTTTTCTCAGGCTGTGACCCAGCCCTGGGACTATAGGAGATACGAGCTCTAGGAAGCTCTGGTCCCAGTGCTGCAGGAGGCATCTCTCCCATCTGAAGCAGCTCAGCTGTGTGCTATTAATAAAGGGCTGCACTTCAGATGGCCAACAGAGCCCTTTTTCCTCCTCCTGTTGGGGCACAGCCCCTTGCGTTGGCCGCCTCGAGGAGTGGGCACGATGGCCCAGGCTGCTCCGCAGCTCACCTGCATGCTCAGCCCCAAGGAGATGAGCCTTAACGAGCAAGTTTCCCTTAGGTGAGAGGCAGCTGATGAATATAAATCCCCGCTGACCCCGGGGATGACTCAGAGGGCAGCGCCAAAGTTGTCCGTGCGCTTCGATCGATGGGGGGAAGGAGCTTTTCTGCCTTTGGTGGGTGGACCAGCAGATTGTTAAGGATGAAATACATACATGCATCCAATGCAGGGGGGTAAGGAGGGGAGGAAATCGATGGTGAGATGGTCAGACGTGGCCTGGCTGTGCTGGGCAGCTGGGGTTGGTGAACCACGAAGTCCGGTGATCCCCATGACCGTGAGTCCTCAGCACAATGCTGCCCCGAGATGGGGCACAGCCACAGGTCCTGCCCAGACACAAAGCCCCCTGGCGTGGTTATAACTTAACTCTGTAAGGCTCAGCGGGGGCGCAGGGCTGCTGTTTGCACGCAGGAGGTGCAGGACCAGCCAACGCTGCCTGACAACCAGCATAGAAAAAGAGGGAGAGCAGTGATTTCAGCTCTGACTGCAGCAGCAGCAGCAGCAGCACCCTGCCTCTGGCAGTGCAGCTGGGCTACAGACACCCAGCCTGCCAACACCATCTCACTGCAGGAGTTGGGGAGCAGCTGCCCAGCGTGCAGGCTCAGGCAGGAAGGGCTGAGGGCACTCTGCTCCCTGCAGGCCCTCATAAGGAGACCTGGAGAGTTCGTAGCACCAGCACCCCATCCCGGGGGCTGCAGAGCTCCTCAGAGCTCTGACAAACACCGCAGGCCACGTGCAGTGCCAAAGGCACCCAGAGATCACACAGCTTCACTGCAGACAGCTCAGGATTCGTCGCCTGCAGTGAAAGGAGTGAAAAAAACAAAACCCAAACCAACGAACCCCATCCAGAGCAGATGTATGTACCTAATATAGGTAAGGAGACCGCGGCCGTCCATCACGTCGCTGCCCACGGACAGAAAGCAGCTGCAGAGGGGTGGCCCTTTGGCTGCGAGTCTCAGAACACAGCCATGCAACAGCCGTGCTGTTACTGCCCATAGAAACCACCCCTGCAGCTCGTGTCCCAGCAGCAGTGGGGCAGGGGGAGCCGGGGCTGAGCTTCTGAGGGTGGCACCGTGGGGTCCCTGCTCGGAAGGAAGGGCTCGTTAGTGAGTGGGGTGAGGTGGGAGCTGGGAAGGAGAGGGCTGAGCGTGTCACCTCTGTGCCCAAGCCCATCCCGTCCCCGCTCCCAGAAATGCAGACCCACAGAAACCACTTGGGGTTTTCCTTTCTGAGAGCTCTGCTGCCTGGTTTAACCGCGGCACAAACCCTGCTGTGCTCTCAGTAAGAGCTGAACCCAAGCTTAATTACTACAAATAAGTGAAAGGTGCAATGCCAGCAGGGGAAGGAGCCCCCAGCAGTGCTTCTGCACAGACCATAAATCCTCCCTTCTCAAAGAGGTGTCTTTCCAGGAGAATGAAGGAACTGCTTTAGAACAGGTCTGGAAAGGCACTCCGTAAGGGACAGAACAGCAGGAATCACCACTGCAGGGCACCCACTGCATCCCAGCGTCCCTGCAAAACCAACCCACGGGGGCAGCACACCAGGACCACTCTGCAGGCTGTTTCCAAGAGAAGAAAACGCTTTGTTGGAAAAGGAGATGGAGCCCAGCCATCCTGCTGGCAGCGGGGATGGCATCTCATAGCTGCTGGCAGCTGACAGCCGTCCTCGACGTGCCGTGCTGAAATTGAGTTAAACATATGGATGTAGATGTTTAATTGGGACAGAGGGGGCCGTGAGATACAAAGGTGAAGGACGGGGCACAGAGATCAGCAGCAGCACAGCAGGGACTTGGAAACATCACCATGCTCAGAAAGATGACTTTGGGAAGGGCAGCGTTTGAGGAAGGGGATGGAGAACAGAATCACCAAAAATGGATCCATTTTTTGGTATCTTTGCAACTCCATTCCTGGTTGACTCCGTTAATATGGCCCAAGGATTTCCAAACGGAGAGTGCAGTCAGCTCCAAGAGAAATAACTGGGTGGTCAGCTCCATGAGAAATGAGTGGATGGTCAGCTCCAATAGAAATAATTGGATGGTCAACTCTAAGAGCAATGAGTGGATGGCCAACTCCACGAGGAATGAGTGGATGGTCAACTTCAAGAGATATAATTGGATGGCCAACTCCAAGAGCAGTGAGTGCATGGCCAACTCCACGAGAAATGAGTGGACAGTCAGCTCCAATAGAAATAATTGGATGGCCAACTCCAAGAGAAACGAGTGGATGGTCAGCTCCAAGAGATATAACTGGATGGCCAACTCCAAGAGCAGTGAGTGCATGGCCAACTCCAATAGAAATGAATTCTCTTCAGCAAGGTTTGTCAAGACCTCTCCTAGCACAGAAGTGACCCCACGCCACCCCTGGCTGCCTGGCAGCACTTGCAGCTGTGAGTGTGGTGCCATTAAGAGCCTCTCGTGAATCACATCCGCTGAAGCAGACATGGACACAGAATTGTGCCCAGCAAACCAGAGGTGGATGCATTAAATAAATGAGGAGGTTGGTGGCCCTGCATGTGGCAGGGGGTTGGAGATTCATGATCCTTGAGGTCCCTTCCAACCCTGGCCATTCTGTGATTCTGTGATTCTGTGATTCTGTGATTCTGTGATTCTGCATTAGTTTCACAAAACCAAGGGTGAATATCCCACCCATTTCACGTTTCTGCTGCCCTTTTGGCAAAGTTTCATTAAGAAATACATCTCAAAAAAAGAAGTTTTCACGTTTATATCATTACCTACACCTTGCAGGCAGCCCAAGACCCTCCTCCTTCACCCAACGCATCGCATCGGAGCCACCAGCTCGGGCACCCAACGGCCCAGATCCCTCCGTGAGCGTTCCCACCTCATTTCAGTCCTGATTTTTGGTAACCACCGTGCAGTGCGAAGCCTTTCTCACCGATTCTCCTCAGCCTTTGCAAGATGGGAAGCCCCGTTCTGCTCCGTTGCTCACTTGGAATGGTCAACAGCCGTCACACTCCGCTGCTGACCATTGTGCCCTGCTAAAGGTGGGAGGCTCCGCTGCGGACCCGGGCAAACAACGGGGCCCGCTGCTGCTCGGACATCAAAGTTAAACAAACAGCCACAACCCCCCTCCTCCATCCCCATCCCCAGCAGCTCCCCGAGGAGGTCACGGCTTTCAGCTTGTCATAGCACACATCAAAGTTTGCACCACACACGAACTCGGCACACGGATTGGAATCGCGTCGCCCGAGAGCGGATATTCAGCCTTTGTGCTCTGCTTTAATCCTGTGTTTTCACAACTAATTAAGCTTTTTTGCTTATGAACTTGTGACTAAGTAAAGCGTCCCCGAGAGGTTGTAACATCAAAGCTCATTCTCCCACGTCTGGCCCACGTTTGCTGAAATTGGATTTCTCTCTTTCTCCCTCTCCCTCTTTTTTTTTTTTTTTTTTTTTTTCCCCCTTAAATGATAATAATAATAATAATAAAAAAAAATCCCTAATTGAATTTAGTTGTAGACTGAATATATTTAAGAGTGCCTTTAAAAGGTTACAAGAAGCCATGGCGATCATCATGGGAACTAAGGAGGGAGGGCACAGCGTTCAGCCTTTTTGCTTCAGAAAGGTCGAGCATGAAAGGCCCAGCACGGCCCCAGGCTGGGGGGCAGCAGCTCCCACAGGAGCCTTTGGTGGTGGCTCCCACATCACCCCGGTGCTGCAGAGCCACTGGGTCACAGCAACAGAACCACAGGGGTCGGAAGGGACCTCTGGAGATCTCCCAGTCCCAATCCAAGCGGGTTCCCTGGAGCAGGTGGCACTGGAAAGCATCCCGGTGGGCTTTGGGTATCTCAGAGATATTGCATCCCTGCAACAGGTTCTCCACAGCAGTTCCCTGTCTGTCTGTCTGTCTGTCTGGAGCCTGGGAGCCCAGCATGGGTGCAATGCTCCAGATGTGGCCCCTCAGGGCAGAGAAGAGGGGAGGAGAACTTCCCTGCCCAGCTGGCCATGCTCTGTGCCACGCACCCCACGGTTCCATCGGCCTTTGTGGCCACCACTGCTGGCTCATGGTCAGCCTGTGCTCAACTGCTGGCCAACTATTGCTCAAGCAGGACATCACTAGCCTTCTTGGCCACCAGGACACACTGCTGGATGATGGTCAGCCTGTGGTCAACCGCTGGCCAAACAGAACACCATCGGTCTACTTGGCCAAAAGAGCACACTGCTGCCTCATGGTCAACTGTTGGACAACTGTTGGCCAACTGTTGGCCAACCATTGGCCATCCAGGACATCATTCACCTTCTTGGCCACCAGGACACACTGCTGGCTCATGGTCAGCCTGTGGCCAACCACTGGTCTACCACTGGCCATCCAGGACATCATTCACCTTCTTGGCCACCAGGACACACTGCTGGCTCATGGTCAGTTCGTGGCCAACCACTGGTCAACCACCGGCCATCCAGGACATCATTCACCTTCTTGGCCACCAGGACACACTGATGGCTCATAGTCAGCCTGTGGCCAACCATTGGCCAACTGTTGGCCAACCACGACACCACTGGCCTTCTTGGCCACCAGGACACACTGCTGGTTCATAGTCAGCCTGTGGCCAACTGTTGGCCAACCACTGGCCATCCAGGACATCATTCACCTTCTTGGCCACCAGGACACACTGCTGGCTCATGGTCAGTTCGTGGCCAACCACTGGTCAACCACTGGCCATCCAGGACATCATTCACCTTCTTGGCCACCAGGACACACTGCTGGCTCATGGTCACCCTCCTAGCCACGAGGACCCCCAGGTCCATCCCCGTGGAGCTCCTTCCCAGCCCACGATGCTGAGACAAACATACCTGGAATTCCTGCTGATGGCTGCCACCATCAGGGCCGTCCAGCCCAGCCGGTGCCTGGAGTTCACATCTGTGCCTTCCTGCAGTAACCTGGACAGAAGGGAGACAGGATCAGGAAGAGGATGTGGGGGAAGCATCCCGAGCAGACGGGAGCTAACGAAGCAACACAATAATTTCCAGCCACCTGTTCCAGTGCAGCCTATTAACCCACAATCTGATGACAGCTTTGAACCTTCAGGTGCAACCAGGTGGGTTTCAGAAGGAGCTCAGATCTCCAAAGCACGCGCCGTTAGGATGCGTTTTGTAATTTTCATGCCCAAAAAGACAAGAGATGAGACAAACCCAAAAACTCAGAGGCACCAAATCACGGGATAACAGCTTGGCTGAGGCTGGGGACCCCTCTGGGTCCTTCTGCTCCTTCCTGACCCCCAGAACACAGCACCCAGCCCCCCATCCAGGCGCTTTCTGCAGCTCCCCAAGGAGCAGAGCGCACTCTACGCAAACCTTCCTCTGCTCAGAACTCCCACAGTGCTCTCACCACCCCAAATACGTTCCCACAACCCTGAAGTTATTTCCAAGCAGGACTGAGGAACCCTGAGCCCAAGGAGGAAAGGAGGATCCCGCAGCACTGCAACAACTGAAGGAATAAAACGGTGACAGGGAGCCTGAATTCGTAGCTGCTGAGCGTGGCTCTGAAGGCCACGATGGAAGATTCATGCTCCTTTAACCAATTAAAAGCTTAATGATGGAGAGCCTCTTTGGCAGCTCCATAAAGGTGTGATACTACGAGGGGCCAGCTGGGATAACATCCTTTTGCTTTCCTCCTCCAGCCACTTAAGCAGAGAAACAAAAGCCTGCATGCCTGCAGCGTGCAGCAGAGCTCAGACAGCAGGAAAGGAGAAACTCGGACAGAAGGAAAGGAGAAACCAAGCAGGAGCTCCTGACCCCGGGATGGGATAGGATGCACAGCTGGCGGCAGATTGCTATCTCTGAGCCATCGGCGTGTGCACCCACAGCCCTGTGGGTCACAGCCATCCCACGGCCCCGTCCAAATGCACGCTGCAGCCCATCTGTGTGCCCTCGGGCAGGAGCAGCCCCCTGGAGCAGCACGGAGGAGGGATGGAGGAGGAATTCCTGGTGGCCATTGGGACACATCGCACCTTCCTGTGCACCGAAGCCTCTGGGAAGGGTTCCTGTGCTCACCAAAGGGCTTTTTCCCTGCTCAGCACTGAAGGGTGAACGACCCTCATTCTCAAACCGAACTGAGCTCCCATCGCGGCGGCCAAAATCTGACTGCACAGCTATGATAGCTGAATAAATTAATTAATCAGGTGGTTTCCCATTCAGAAGGCTGAGCAGGGTGGACCAGCACACCCACAGCACTGACATTTCCTTTTGGAGCCACATTCCTGCTCTCCCTGCATCACAGAACACATCTTCACGTGCATCCCACGCCGGGGGTCCGTGAGCTCCTGGCCCCCCACCCCCCCTCCCTCCTCCTGATCTAACGATAGGACAATCGATAAAGCGACGACCGCCGCTCAGATCTGAGACAGCCAAATGTCTTTAGCAGATGTCTGTCAATTGAATCAAGCCGTGCGATCGATGTTTGGGATGTTTGCCCATGTTTTAACCCAGGATGCTCGCTCTTACTTAGGAAGCAAGTTTTCTTGCAGCCACGCAGCTCCACCAGCATCGCTTTCGGCTGCGGGAGCCGCACTGCATCCCAGCTGAGACCACGGCCTGCAGCTGCACTGCTCCTGCTTCGTAATCCTGGCGCTGCACGGCGCTGGGAGGCGCTGGGTGAGTGCACAGCAGCGCTGGAGGATCTGGGTGCAGAACGAGGGACCTGCTGCAGCACGCAGCCCGGAGAGGGGCCAGGCCAACGCAGTCGGGTTTAACACGGAAACTCCATCCTTCAGCACGTCTTGGTATTTCAGCTCAGAACAGGATTTCCCAATTTGAGCCAGAAAAACACCACCAAGCACATCGCTGTGAGCCGGGCAGGCAATGCTTTGCGATGGCACAGTTTAAGCACCACGGCCTTATGGCTGCACTGGAATTTGCTGCTGGAGCTTTAGGGAGAGAATTTTGTGAGCTCCTTCACCCATAGAGCTGCAGTGCTTTGATCCATCCCGCAGAGAAAGAGCCCGTGGGGCTGCGTGCTGCGGCCCCAGCACAGATGTGCTTCTATTCACCCCTCGGTCGGGGTTCTGGGTGAGCGGCTGCGAGCTGACACCGAGCCCAGAGGGCATGTTTGAGTTTGTGCTCAGCGCCCGCCCTCCTGCCAGGTGGAGGAAGAGGAAGCTGGAAACTTGAACTCCGGCTGACAACAAAAGCTTCTGTCGGTGCTGGCTGCTGACTGGCTGCTGACGTCGCTCCCTGCAGCCCCTTCTGCTCCGTATGTCGGAGTGCAGGGCTGGGGGAGCAGCCAGGGGTGCTGTGCAGAGCGGGGAGGGAAGGGAAGCCCCCAGAGGAGCAGTGTGGAAGCACTGCAGCCTCACTGAGGGCAGAGCCGTGCCTGCAGATGAGTCCATTCCTCCTTGAGATGGGTTCTGTCCGTGGATGCTGAGGCAGGAGAAACGTCACCACAACGAGGGCAGCTGTTGGAAATGAAAGTTTCTGAAGGGAAACCAAAGCAAGAGGGGACAGCAGAGCTGCGTGGGGGCACAAAGGGTGTCCAGAAGCAGTGCTGGTTGTGCTCCTCTCCCACCAACCTCAGCCCACGTGGCTCTGCTTGGAGCTCTGCTGGCCCCTCACCACCTCTCAGCCATCCAAACGGGAAGGCTGAGCACACACAAATCTGCTGCTTACGGGGCAAACCCCTTGGGCAGCTCACACTCAGAAAAAGGACTTCCAGAAATGCAGCCCTGGACTGGAGATGGTTTGTCCTGGGAGGTGACCAACAGTCGTGGTCACGGTGCTTTTCACATGTAGAGGGTTGGGGTGAGGACAAGCAGGCAGCTGAACTGAAAAGGGCAGCTTCCATTTGTGCAGCATGGAAAAAAAACAGGTCCTGGCAGCTGCTTCCCAGTTTGTATGGCATGGAAAATTGAGGTCCTGGCAGCTGTTTCCCAGCTGGAACGCACGCACTGCAGCCCTACCCTGAGCGTGGGGAGCACGGAGCATCCCTGCTGCTGCTCTGCCTGGGCAGGCTCACCAATCAGCCAGACATCACTAAACAGCAGCTTCCTGCAATTACGAGCAGCAGAACCCGTGTGCCAATTAGCTGCACGCCAACATCCTCCCTTCAGCCCTTGATCCAGGCCAGAGCTCAGCCCTGGGCTGCACGGAGCCACGCTGCTTCCTTCGAGCCTCCCTGCAAGCTGCGAGCAGCAGCTCTGGCCCTGGGGATCACAGAGCCACCAGGTGTGGGGGGCACAGCAGAATGTCTGCTCCCATCCCATGCAAGCTTCCAGGCCACCAAAAAACTCCCTGTGTTCTCCTGGGCACCTCTAGGAATCTGCTCACCTGCTGACTTCTGAAACGTTGTTGATCCTCGCGGCTTCCAGCAGAGCATCTTCTGAAAGCAAGAGAGAAAATGAGTCAGGAGATGTTCAGAGCGTCAAACAACGCGGGTTGGGAAGAATCTGTTTGCTCCAAAGCTGCTTGCTGGCTGACTTAGGGCAGCCCTGCTGTTGGCACCGGGCTGGGAGAAATATGGGATGGATGGCCAACAAGTGCAGGGCTCGTAAGCACGGGATGGGGCTGGTGGAGCCGAGGGGAAGCATCGTGCCCACGCTCTGCAGCAAGGGAGCATCTGGGCCAACAGCTGTGGAAACGAAGCTGGCACAGACAGCAGTCAGCCTTCAGGCAGAGGCTTCCAACAGCAGCAGGAAGGCTGTGCAGGCTGAGCAGGACATCTCCTGGCTGGAAGGGGAAGGACAGCATCCCAGCTCCCGTCCCCACAAGGGACGGCTCTCCCTAGCAGCTGCCTTGCTGCGCGTTGGCTGCAGGCTTCCAAAAGCTGCAAACCTCGGTGTTTCTTTTCCTCTGCTGCTCCAGGACGGGCCAGCAGCATTTTGGCAGCTCACCTTGCACGTGCCTTAACGCATCTTCCAGCCGGATCCCCGTGGCTCCCAGCTGGGAGCCCAGCACTGGGAGCAGTGCTCCAGCTTTCATCCCCCCAGGGCGGTGCGGAGGGGAGGAGAGGAGAACCACCCTCACCCCGCTGCCCACGACTGTGCCATGGCCCCCAGGGGACCATTGGCCTTTTTGGCCACCAGGGCACACTGCTCCCTCAAGGGCAACCATTGGTCAGCTACTGATGAACTGCTGGTCAAACTCTGGTCAACCATTGGCCTTCATGGCCAGCAGGGCACACTGTTGCTCATGGGCAACCATTGGCCAATTACTGATGAACCGTCGGTCAACTACTGGTCTCTTTGGCTACCAGGACACACTGCTGGCCCATGGGCAACCATTGCTCAACTACTGATGAACTGCTGGTCACCATTGGTCAACCATTGCTCTTTTTGGCCACCAGGGCACACTGCTGGCTCATGGGCAACCACTGCTCAACTACTGATGAACTGCTGGTCAACCATTGGCCAATCATTGCCATTTTTAGCCACGAGGGCACACTGCTGGCCCATTGGCAACCATTGGCCAATTACTGATGAACCGTTGGTTAACTACTGGTCTCTTTGGCCACCAGGACACACTGCTGGCCCATGGGCAACCATTGGCCAACTACTGATGAATGGCTGGTCACCATTGGTCAACCGTTGCTCTTTTTGGCCACCAGGGCTCATGGGCAACCATTGCTCAACTACTGACGAACCATAGCTCAACTACTGGTCTGTTTGGCCACCAGGACACACTGCTGGCCCATGGGCAACCATTGCTCAACTACTGATGAACTGCTGGTCACCATTGGTCAACCATTGCTCTTTTTGGCCACCATGACACACTGCTGGCCCATGTGCAACCATTGGCCAATTACTGATGAACCGTTGGTCAACTACTGGTCTTTCTGGCCACCAGGACACACTGCTGGCCCATGGGCAACCACTGCTCAACTACTGATAAATGGCTGGTCAACCATTGGTCAACCATTGCTCTTTTTGACCACCAGGGCTCTTGGGCAACCATTGCTCAACTACTGATGAACTGCTGGTCAAACTCTGGTCAACCACTGGCCTTTATGGCCACCACGACACACTGTTGCTCATGGGCAACCATTGCTCAACTACTGATGAACTGCTGGTCAACCATTGGTCAACCATTGGCCTTTCTGGCCACCAGGTCTCATGGGCAACAATTGCTCAACTACTGATGAACCATAGCTCAACCACTGGTCTCTTTGGCCATCAGGACACACTGCTGGCCCATACGCAACCATTGGCCAACCATTGGCCTTTCTGGCCACCAGGGCTCATGGGCAACCATTGCTCAACTACTGATGAACTACTGGTCACCATTGGTCAACCGTTGCTCTTGGGCAACCATCGCTCAACTACTAATGAACCATAGCTCAACTATTGGTCTCTTTGGCCACCAGGACACACTGCTGGCCCATGGGCAACCATTGGTCAACCATTGGCCTTTCTGGCCACCAGGGCTCATGGGCAACCACTGCTCAACTACTGACGAACTGCTGGTCACCCATCGGCCAACCACTGCCCTTTTTGGCCACCAGGGAGCACACTACTCGCCCACGGGCAACCACAGGCCAACTGCTGATGAACCGCAGGCCAGCCGTTGCTCTTTTTGCCCCCCAGCCCCCATTTCCCCCCCCACAACCACCGCCGTCCCCCAGCTTCCCCTC